CTACCACTTCTGAATTTGGCCCATTATTTCTTATAGGTACCGTGCGCCTGAAGTTTTGTTGAGATCTTCTGTTTATAGCTCTCCCATTGATATATGGGCTGTTGGTAGCATAATGGCTGAACTGTACACGCTGAGACCTCTTTTCCCAGGGACAAGCGAAGTAGATGAAATCTTCAAAATTTGCCAAGTATTAGGGACTCCAAAGAAGGTACGTCCTATTGTAGATTTGTAGTAGTATACATTAATGAGAATAAAATGAATAAATCATATGGAGTGCTATCTTGCTTTTAGTGGGTGCATATAAACTATTGCTGTTGTAGTAATTGCTTGTGCAAACATTTGATGCTTTCTAAATTTTACTTTCGTTCTTATTGACGTATAGAATAATATTCCTGTTTTGTGTATTAACACCCTTTATATGATGTGTGATTTTTATATCCACTTACTCTACATCATGATGAAAGCCAGATAAATGAAAACTTCCTTTTTTAAAAGAGAGGTTGCACCTGTGGCTTTAAGGATATTTGCATTAAAATATTTTTTTAATTGTAACATTGCCAAATTAGTATTCTGGAAATTATTATGATGTCTTAATTAGAGAATTGTGAGGAAACAATGGAACACATAAACTGTTAAGATAAAGTGCTTCTGTTTTCATGTAAAATATTGTTAGCAATAGCATAAAGGGAGAGAAAATGTACATAATCTGCAGGGTGTTAGAATTACTTTCAATTATTTTAGGCACCATATGCTATTTAAGGGCCAAGTTTTGATAAATGTTGGCTGAGTAGTGCTTACAAAAATGTGCACATGTACTTGCATTTTTGCACACACAGAAATTGCTTGCATAAGTAAATATCTGAGCAGGCAAATATTCGGGTATGCAAACCTTTATTTTTTGCAGGTACAAATCAGGTTTTGTTCTTTTTAAAACAATCGTAAATGCTTGATTCTGCAATGAGTTACAAAAGTACTACATAGGTTATTATTTGTAGTACACGCTAAATGCGTGTGCCACTTTACACAACACATAGAAAGACAGTCTCCACCCCAAGGAGCATACTGTTCAATTTGGACACAACTAACCATAGCACAACAGTTCAAATGGAAGGGGGTGTGGAGATGCAACAGTGTGGAGACTTCATGAAAGAAGGTTTGAAGGAGGAGGTGAATGATGCTTGGTGCACGGGAAATGAGACCAGAGGATGACATGAAAGAACGTGACAGGAGCAAACAGTGGTATAAAGGAAAGGTACATGGGAGTCAGAGGACATGTAGGATTAATCAACAGAAGAGAGACGTAAGCAGGGGTGGAAGGTAAAACTGAGAAGCCTGAACTTAATGCTGAAGATGAGAGGAAGCCGGTGAAGGGATTTCAGGGGGCATTGGGGTAATAGGGTTGCAATGGAAGCAGAAGAAGACAACTTTACCTGCAGAATTTTTAATAGACTGAAGAGATGCAGGTATGCCAAGGCATTATGGATTCTCTCCACAAGATTAAGGATTCCAGCTTCCACCACTTGGGCTGTGCACCTCCCTCCTCAGCATGCAGGTTCTAGAATTCTGTTTTAATTTGATCCAAAACGATGTCGTGTGTTAACGACATCTTGTTTTCACTTTTTAACAGAGTGACTGGCCAGAAGGGTACCAGCTTGCATCTGCCATGAATTTCCGCTTCCCACAATGTATCTCTATGCACCTCAAAACTCTCATTCCAAATGCCAGCAATGAGGCAATACAGCTTATGACTGATATGCTAAACTGGGATCCAAAGAAACGACCTACAGCAAGTCAGGTAAGACTGCCTAAGTGATGGATTCTTTATAAGGCTAATAATTTATATAGTGCTTTAGATTAAAATGTTACACACCCTAGCAAAATGATCATCCTAGCACTGTAAGAAAGTAAAAGTCAGCCTCCGATTTTGTAGATGTGGGTGGAAAGAAGACAGAAGAGAAGCCCAAATGTTCAAAGTTGGGTGGTTCAACGAATATCAAACCCTGAGTTCTGGTCTCTCTGTAATTTGGTCTTGTTGATGCTGTCAGCACGGGTCCATATCAGAGACTCAGTCTCTGTCACACCCGACTTGAATAAATGCAGTCAGCAAGTGAAACAGTGTGAACTAAGCAATGTGGTCTAATGGACAGATCATTGACCTAGGATTCAGAGGACCTGGGTTGTTTTCTTGGTATCTGACCTGCTGTGTGACCTTGAGCAAATTACTTCTCTCTGTGCTTCCTTTTCTCCATTTATAAAAGGGATAGTGATAAAACCTTCCCTTGTGAAGTATTTTGAGATCCATGGGTGAAAAGTGCTATATAGGAGCTAAATATCTTTATTTGTAGATCTGAGGTGACCCTTACTATCAGGGAGAACTTTTGTGGGGACTTCAACAATGGTCTATCACATATTTTTCCATAAGAGTTCATAAAAACCCCAAATATGTGTACTGCCAAGTACCAAAGGTGTCTAAATTGGATACCTTTTTGTGGATAGCCAAAGTTAATGTAAGTACACTTATAGGATGTAAAAGAGGATTACAGTAGGGAATGCAACAGAAAAAGGGAATATTGCAGGACAAGATGAAAATCCAACTAATCACATGTGGATATAATGCAGGTGACTCAAATGTGACTAAGCTGATGGTACAAAATAAATCAACCACCTCTCTCCACTTTAAAAAAAGAACTAATATTACAAGAGTCACCTCTAGCACTGTAGACATCATACATACAATGCCACACAGCCCTTCTGTAAAAAGGAACAACTAGGTTTAACCTAAATTGCATTCTCAAGGAGTCAGCTGTGCAGTGCATAAAGGAGACTTTAGTGTGTGCTCATGGAAACAGGTGATGTAGTGCTAAATGTTACAATGTTGGAGCCCTGTAGAAATGTACCTATCACACAGGCACTTTTCTCCCTCTGTTTTCTTCACCCACACCTACTGTTCATGTGTCCTTCCTCCTGCAGGGCAGAGCCAAGACATTCATTCTGTCTCTGCCCATTTGAAGCATGATACATCACAATGCTCTGTCCTCCTAATAGGAAGCACTGCTCTGGGGCCGCGGGTGGGATGAGGGCGCCATACTGTTGTTACCAGAAGTGAGTGTTGCAAATTCCTCCTTGAGCTGCAGGGAGTGGCCTAGCTTTCCCATCACCTCAGAGTTCTGGAACGTGGCTGACTCCATCTCCTCACCTAACCCTGACTGCTCTGCTGCTGGCCTGGTGCCCTGGCTACTGCTCCCCACCACTGGGCTGGAGCCACCCTGAAGGGGTAAAGGGCACTGGGGGGAACAGGGCTGATGGGATAAGGGTGGAGTTGAGGGGTTAGTGGGGCATCATTATTAGAGTGAACATGCCATTGCTTCTGAGTTTCTCTGCTGCCGGGGAGCCTGTTCCCCAAAGCTCCTCTTTTT